AATAATTTAATTTATTTTATAGTTAATTATATTTTGGTTCATTCATAATGAAACATAACTAAACCAACTAAAGTTTGGTCTAGTTTAACAATACATCATTGTGAAATTTCCAAGCATGAGTTTTAAGACCAAAATTAAGAGAGGGAGAGAGAGAGAGAGAGAGAGAGAGAGAGTAAAAATGTTTTGATGAGATGTTTGAGAAAACATCTTAGGATTCTTTGCCTTATTTTTAACCAATATATTATAAGTTCGAGAAAAAATTTCCTTTAAGAATATGAATGGTTAATCACCCATCTCTAGAATCTCGATTTATATTGCTAGGCAATCATAGTAATAAACACAATTAAAATGGTTGTAGAATAATTAATTTATTGAATATTCATCACAAGATTTTTTGTCAATTATGAAAAAAAATGAATTTGAATCCCGATGATGTGAATGCTATATCGAGTTCTACTAAGGAGATCAGTTAGTCAATCTATTTAATCCTAATGGCCAAGTATTATGGGAAGTTAGCCTAATAGATTGATTGTTCGATTGTAGGAAAAAAAAATACTTCTTTCAAATCATTATGTGGTTGTTGATTATTCAGCTTTGTGTGAATTGTAAATCAGTTATAAGTTTTGAGTGGTTTGACTTTGTTTGTCAATTAATAGTTTCATAGACATGATCCAAATATGTATTAAACTTTGATGGACAAGGAAGCCAATGTCAAGAATGAATTCATGGCCAATGTTTGAAGTTCTTAGGTGCCCATCATAGTTGAAGTACAATCTCAAGGATTAATTGCAAGTATACCAACTTCTAAGTCCTCTTGCTTAAAGGAATTCGGCAAAATAGAGATAATTGACAATGAAGCTAATATCCCTTCCTTAGTACATATCTTAATGTGAATTGATTTCCTTAATGTAAGATACCTAAATATATCAAAAGAGAAGTTGCGAGCTTAAAAAAAAAAAAAAAGACGATACTTTGTAACTCCCGAGTATTTAACTCTCTCAACTGCTCATTTAAGAATTTTAGATTTTTGAAATATGTGCGTTCTAAAGTCACAGCTCCACCATTAAATAATATTGGATGAATAATAAAAATGTGACAGACTCCAACAGCAAATTTCATGCATGAATAACTATAACTGGGTAGATAAAAAAAAGGATCAAATGAATTACCGACCAAGAAGCATTCATGGATGAAATTGTACTGTTTGAATCTAAATTAATAAGTTTATCTATCAATTATATCTAAAATAGCACGATGAAATAAAAATACTTTTAATGTTAGCTTAGATTTGGCTTTATTGTATTTTATGATTTGGATAATTTCAAACTAAAGATTTGATTTTGTGAGTGTGTGTAATTCTATTGATGGTAGCTATAAGAGATATTTTGAACAATGACTAAAAGGTCCTTGATATAATTTATGCATAGTGTAGGGTTCAATTTATTTGGGAAGATTTTTTAAGTTGGGAAGACCACATAAATCATTAAAAAAAAAATCCTTAAAGTGGCTTTCATCACTGAGGTTTGCTACTTAGCAAACATTAATACATGTTGTTAGCCTCTTCTATAAGGCCTACTTCAATGTCATCAATACTTTGGCATGCACTAGAATCATTATCTAGAAGAATTCATAGCAAGTATTTGATCAATTTGGATGGTTTGATTTTTAAATTGGCTAAGCCAATTGATTATTTTTAAAAAAAATTAATAAATTCAAATCAAACTAATTTTGATCAAATCAAATCAAATTTGGGAAAAACATTAGTTTGGTTAGGTAGGTTTGACATTGAATGCACTCCTTATAATTTTGACATCAAAATAAACAATAGCCATTTAGATCTTCACATCACTGATTTATTTACATGTGTTTATTGGTTCAATAGTTGAAGAAAATAAAACCAAAAAAATGATCAAAACCCCAAAAGAAAGTTTAAAATACAAAAAATAATTAAAGCAATATTTTAATAACTAAGTCAATGAAACCAAATAAGAGAATACAATCCCCAAATAAAACCACATCATTACATTGTAATAATTGATACTCTGACTTGACATTACAATTTTAAAATGGATTGACAAACATATGCAAGGATTAGGTTGTGTGACATAACATCCAATTTCCTTAAAAGCACAATCAACATATCAATCAAAACATTTCTTAACATTTCATATATGCACCAATCACTAAAAGTGTTAGAGCATCATCATGGCTTTAAACTCTTCAAAACAAAGCACACCATCACCGTTCAAGTCAAAACTAGAAATCATAGAGCGACATTGCTCTATCGGCCTTGAAGAACCCAAGCTGCTTAGCATTCTCTTTAAGCTCATATCTGTTATAAAGCCCCTCCCTTCCATCTCATATAACTTGAAGGCTTCCTTTACCATGTATTCCTCATTATGACTCTTTTCCTTCTCACTAATTTCTACTTCTGCCAGTCTCACAAAGTCTTTGAAGTCAAGCAGATCATCACCATCTGAATCAGCATATTGCAGGAAAGCCATGGCTTCCTCAAAGCAGAGCTCTTCTCCAATGGTTTTCATAAGAAGCTGAAGCTCTGACAAGGAAATTTTACCATCACCATTGGTATCGAAGTGGGTAAAGAGGCGTTCCATCTCCTTCAGCCCTTTTGCGAAGGAAGTAGAAGCCATTTTTATGCCTGTTATTTTGTTTTTGTAGATCTTGAAGAGATGGAGGAAGAAGAAGGAGATAATGAAAACTGAAAATGTTTACAATTAAGTATGAATGAATTTGATTTGGTTAATTTGTGTGAATATATAGTGGGAAATGGTAGTAGAGGTATTCTTGTAAATTCTCATATATTATAGAAATGATGCTTTCTATTGAACTTTGAAAATTCAGCAGAAGTTTTGTAGGGTTGATGGTTATCTCATGGTTATCTGATAGTTGAGATGGTCAACAAAAAGATGCTGAAAGAAGTATTCTTTGAAGACAGTGTGCTTCAACAGAATTAATATAAGGATTGGGTCTCCAACGTATCACAGTGAAATTGATAAAAAAATAAATATTATTTAAATTAAATCTGTGTGTGTGTGTGTGTGTGTGTGTGTGTGATGATATAATTTATATGAAGGAGTTCTGAAATTCAAATTCAAGATCATCCAGAAGACCAATTTTAATAAATTTATAATCAAGATGATCGTCCCGACAAGACAAGCTTGATAAAATCAAAATTGGTTTGACTTGAGTCTAATTAAGCCCAAATCAAGCCAATAAAGCTTTTTTTTGGAGGTTTCAAATCATCTATTGAATAGTCAAATGAATTCAAAAGTATAACTCTTTTAAAACTCACCTATATTTCAACAATTAGTCGACCAGGCTAACTTGTTGCAGTACTCGCCCAAATGGACACGACAAACAGGAATAACTCATTCTCTTAGTTGAACTCAAATCTAGCATCTACATTATTAGAAGTTCACTTCTTCATCTTTGACATAATCCTCAACAAGATCTCAAATTGACTATCAAGTTTTGATTCTTCTGCAACCAGCCTTCTAAATAGAATATCACTATCATTCCTTTAACATGGGAATCATGATTCCAACACTAGAGACAACAATCTGAAATCATAGATGACAATCGACATCTTCTTTAATTCTTTGAAGTTTATCACCATTCTATCATACTATTCACTCTTAGACTTGCCCTTTTTGATTTAAACAAATCCAATCAAGCCCTTCGTAAATCAATGGTCTAAACCATTTCTCGAAGACTAAATTTCTCTTTTTACTTTACATGTTTGTGCGATAAAATTTTCATACATAGATTTGTGACATCAAAGTGATATAAATATAAATTTCAAACTTTAGATGTTACGTATGCAAAAACATGAGAATTGTGTGGTATGTATGTAAATTCATTTTTTTTTATTACTTTCTATGAATTAATTTTATAAACCTAATGAAACTATAAAAGCTAAAAAATGTGTATCACACGTCTAAAATGGAACTGATTGAGCCAATATTTTCCAATTGTCAATATCCATTTTTATTTCTTAAATGAATATTGAATTAATTCTAATATTATTTCCAGTATTTCAATACTGCAGGCATCAGAAGAATTTTGGATAGCTCAAACTATAGCAACTTATTTTATTTCCTTTTTTGTTGACTTAAATTTAGACTTCTTAACTTTGAGTTGACATAATTTAATTACAATAATTGCTTTCTCTCTCTCTCTCTCTCTCTATATATATATAGTGTCAAGCACCCGGCTTGTTGGTTGGCATCCTTGGTGTAAGACCCTCAGATCGGGGGTTCGAATCCCCCTCTGGCGACGTGAGCCTTAAGGAGGGTGGTACTCAAATTGCTAGACACAATAGGAGTGGCAGAAGCTCGTACAAGACTCTGACCATTCTTTTCATTTTTTTTTTAAGGAAACGGTCGGAGGCTATTATACGAGCTCCGGTCATCTCTCACGCGCTTAAGAGTTTGAGTACCACACCCTACACTTGGGGGAATCGAACCTCATACCAATGGGGACTTACATCTGACAAGCAGGTGCCCGTCCATTTTATACCTTACTTCATTAAATTTAGTATATGTCAAAATAATCCAACCCTCAACTTAAGAGGCAATGAAACATCTTTGTATTATTTTCGTTAATTATCCATCAATATTTTGGCACATTATCTCTGTTGTTACTATAGTTAAGATCTATTTTTTGGTATATTTAAATCAATGATTAAAGGCATCGTTGATGTAACTAACTTTAATAATGAACCTAATTATCTATGTTTTATCCAAACCTAATAAAATCACATGATCACATTGAAATCATTAATATAAAGTCCAACATTGCAATCTTAAAAATGAACTGCCCAAATTGATGATTCTCTTATAACTTGTAAATACCTTACAATATATTTACATTGTGCGCCATAACATCTACCATTTTTGAAAGCAATGATAACATATCAATCAAAACATTTCTTAAAATATGAAATATGAACCAATCACTAAACTAAAAGGATTAGAGCATCATCTCATCATGGCTTTAAACTCATCAAAACATAGCACACCATCTCCATTCATATCAAAACTGAAAATCATAGAACGGCACTGCTCGATCGGCCTCGACGAACCCAAGCGGCTCAGCATTCTCTTCAAACTCCTATCTGTAATAAAGCCACTCCCTTCCATTTCATATAACTTGAAGGCTTCCATTACCACATGTTCTTCATCATAACTCTTTTCCTCCTCACTAGTTCCCATTTCCACCAATCTCATGAATCCTTCCATGTCAAGAAGATCATCATCATCTAATTCGGCATGTTGTAGGAAAGCTTTGGCTTCCTCACAACAGAGCTCTTCTCCAATGGTTTTCATAAGAAGTTGAAGCTCAGATAAAGAGATTTTACCATCACCATTAGTATCAAAGCGGCTGAAGAGGTGCTTCATCTCCTGCTGTCCGTTTGCAGAGGAAATAGAAGTCATATTAATGGTTGCCATTTTGTCTTTGTGGAACTTGAAGAGGTAGAAGGAGAAGTAGATGAAGTCTGAGAATGTTTGCTCTAAATATTAATGAATTTGCTTCGGTTAATATGTAATAATATATAGTGGTTAGTAGCAGAGCTTTTTAATGTTTCTGGTATTCTTGTAATTGCTTCTATATTTTAAAATTGCAGCTTTTGGTTGAAATTTAAATATTTAGCTGTTTTGTGCCGTTGACGATAGTTGAGAGTCAGCCGAGAAATGCTTACAGAAATATATATATATATAAGAAAAAAAAACACCGCTTACTCAAATCAGTCGGACGGGCACCTGCTTGTCAGATGTAAGTTCCCATTGGTGTGAGGTTTGATTTCACTAAATGTAGGGTGTGGTACTCGAATTCTTAGGCGCGTGAGAGATGACCGGAGCTTGTATAATAGCCTCCAACCGTTTCTTAAAAAAAAAAAGAAAAGAATGGTCAGAGTCTTGTACGAGCTTCTGCCACTCCTATTGTGTCTGGCAATTTGAGTACCACCCTCCTTAAGGCTCACGTCACCAGAGGGAGATTTGAACCCCCGATCTGAGGGTCTTACACCAAGGATGCCAACCAACAAGCCGGGTGCGTGACACTATATATATATATAGAGAAAGAGAGAGAAAGTAATTATTGTAATTAAATTAGGTCAACTCAAAGTTAAGAGGTCTAAGTTTAAGTCAACAAAAAAGGAAATAAAATAAGTTGCTATAGTTTGAGCTATCCAAAATTCTTCTGATGCCTGCAGTATTGAAATACTGGAAATAATATTAGAATTAATTCAATATTCATTTAAGAAATAAAAATGGATATTGACAATTGGAAAATATTGGCTCAATCAGTTCCATTTTAGACGTGTGATACACATTTTTTAGCTTTTATAGTTTCATTAGGTTTATAAAATTAATTCATAGAAAGTAATAAAAAAAAATGAATTTGCATAGAATATGCAACTTTCAAATTATTACATGACTTGTTGAAAATTTGGCTTTGGGTGATTTTTAAAAGAGTTATAATTTTCTGGTGGTTTAACATAGTTTGTCAATCAAAAGCTTTGTAAACATGATCAAAATATGTATTATGAGTTGATGGATAATGAATCCAATGTTTGATTGCCAATGTTCTAAGTATTATGTCATCCTCATTTAAACTACTATCTCAAAGATGAACTGCATGTTCGAGCGATGGTCGATGGTGGTCGATAGATGGTGGTCGGAGGCTATGGATGCCAAAAAGTTATTGTTTGGTTTTATGTCCAGTATAGTCTATATAATTTCTTCTCTTCCCCTCCCCCTCAAGCGAGAAATAACTTCCTAACCACCTAATCGAGCGACCTATATTGATCCTCCATAATCATAGAAAATTATTTTAATATTTTGAGGGCATTAATGATCTCAGAATTAAACAAGTTTAGGTTGGTTGGATTCCTCTCATTGAGACACTATTGTAATAATATATGTTAAATTTGGAGTTCATTTAACCATTCAATAGATGATTTGAAATCCCCAAAACTTTAATGCCTTGATTTGGGCTTGATCGGACTCAAATCAAACCAATTTTGGTATTACCGAGCTCATCTTGCGGGACGCTCAGCTTGACTATAAACTTGCTAAAATTGGTGCCCTGTATGATCTTGAGTTTGAATTTCAGAAGTCCTTCACAAAAATCACATCATGATTTGTGCTAAAATTGGACCCATTCCTTATATTAATTCTGTTGAAGCACACTGTCTTCAAAGAATACTTCTTTCAGCATCTTTTTGTTGACCATCTCAACTATCAGATAACCATCAGCCCCACAAAACTTCTGCTGAATTTTCATGGTTCAATAGAAAGCAACATTTCTATAATATATAAGAATTTACAGAAATACCTCTACTGCCATTTCCCACTATATATTCACACAAATTAACCAAATCAAATTCATTCATACTTAATTGTAAACATTTTCAGTTTTCATTATCTCCTTCTTCTTCCTCCATCTCTTCAAGATCTACAAAAACAAAATAACAGGCATAAAAATGGCTTCTACTTCCTTCGCAAAAGGGCTGAAGGAGATGGAACGCCTCTTTACCCACTTCGATACCAATGGTGATGGTAAAATTTCTTTGTCAGAGCTTCAGCTTCTTATGAAAACCATTGGAGAAGAGCTCTGCTTTGAGGAAGCCATGGCTTTCCTGCAATATGCTGATTCAGATGGTGATGATCTGCTTGACTTCAAAGACTTTGTGAGACTGGCAGAAGTAGAAATTAGTGAGAAGGAAAAGAGTCATAATGAGGAATACATGGTAAAGGAAGCCTTCAAGTTATATGAGATGGAAGGGAGGGGCTTTATAACAGATATGAGCTTAAAGAGAATGCTAAGCAGCTTGGGTTCTTCAAGGCCGATAGAGCAATGTCGCTCTATGATTTCTAGTTTTGACTTGAACGGTGATGGTGTGCTTTGTTTTGAAGAGTTTAAAGCCATGATGATGCTCTAACACTTTTAGTGATTGGTGCATATATGAAATGTTAAGAAATGTTTTGATTGATATGTTGATTGTGCTTTTAAGGAAATTGGATGTTATGTCACACAACCTAATCCTTGCATATGTTTGTCAATCCATTTTAAAATTGTAATGTCAAGTCAGAGTATCAATTATTACAATGTAATGATGTGGTTTTATTTGGGGATTGTATTCTCTTATTTGGTTTCATTGACTTAGTTATTAAAATATTGCTTTAATTATTTTTTGTATTTTAAACTTTCTTTTGGGGTTTTGATCATTTTTTTGGTTTTATTTTCTTCAACTATTGAACCAATAAACACATGTAAATAAATCAGTGATGTGAAGATCTAAATGGCTATTGTTTATTTTGATGTCAAAATTATAAGTTTTAATAAAGATTATATGATTCTTTCAAAATAAATCTTATTTAAATTAAAGATAATTAGGTTCATTGTTAAAGTAAATTTGATTTTAGTGCATTCAATATCAAACCTACCTAGCCAAACTAATGTTTAGCCCAATTTCATTTGATTTGATCAAAATTAGTTTTATTTGAATTCATGCTTAGCAAATTTAAAAATCAAGTCATCCAAATTGACCAAATGCGCACTATTATGTCTTCTAGATAATGATTCTATTGCATGCCAAAGTATTGATGGCATTGAAGTATGCCTTATAGAAGAAGCTAACAACACGTATTAATGTTTGCTAAGTAGCAAATCTCAATGATGAAAGCCACTTTGAGGATTTTTTTGGGATGATTTATGTTGCCTTCCTAAATTGAAAAATCTTCCCAAATAAATTGAACCCTACACCATGCATAAATTATATTAAGGACATTTTAGTCATTTTTCAAAATATCTCTTATAGCTACCATCAATAGAATTGGACACACTCACAAAATCAAATCATTATTATTTGATATTATCCAAATCATAAGATACAATAAAGCCAAATCTAAGCTAACATTAATAGTATTTTTATTTGATTGTGCTATTTTAGATATAATGGATAGATTAACTTTTTAATTTTGATTCAAACAATACAATTTCATCCACAAATGCTTCTTGATTGGTCAAGAATTTGATATTTTTTTATCTATTCAGTTATAGTTATTCATGCATGAGATTTGTTCTTGGAGACTGTTAACATCTTTATTCTTCATCCAATATTATTTAATGGTTGGGTGGTAATTTTAGAACATAAATATTTCACAGTTCTAAAATTGTAAATGAGCATATGAGAATTTGACAACCAGTTTAATTGTGTCTATTACTATGATTGCTTAGCAATAAAAATCAAGATTCTAGGCATGGGTGATTGATAATTCATAATCCTAAAGGATATTTTTCTTGTTCTTTGAGGTTTGCCTCCATTCCCTTGAACCAAATCTCGTTATTTACACTTAGACATGCTCTTCTTAGTTTAAATGGGTTTAATGATATTTTTTTTGTAAATTAAGTCTCCAAAGGAATTCTCAAATACCAATTTTTTCTCTCTAACTTGCATGTTTGTGTGATTTATTTTTTAATGTAGTATATATATAATCTTCCATTGAAGAACTTCACATACGAAAGAACTTCACAAAGTACCCACAAAAACTTTTCAATTTTGCATCAAGTTAGGTAATCAATCATGATTTATAGCATTATCATGACTTTGAACTCTTCAAAGCAAAGCACCCCATCTTCATTAAGATCAAATTGATAAATCATAATCCAACAAGCTTGCTTTGCTCTTGATGCATCCAAAGGATTAACCATCTGATACCAAAACTAGTTGAGAAAACACAAAACAAACTTTTGTTAGTATTAAAATAGGGCTACAACATGACTCGAACGGAAATAACAAAACAAAGCATAGAATGACACAAGAAAATACGTATAAATGTATTTCAATGGGTGGTGGAGGTCGAATAGAGGGATAAAGATGATTGGGAGGAATGAAAACATTCACGGGAGGAGGGTGGCAGTGAAAGGATGGTGCAAAACTGCTGGGGCAGCATATAAGAAAGGATTGTAGGTGATCGAAAACGGTAATAGGGTTGTTGGGAGAAGCTTGAAAGGAATTAAGAGGTCGGGTCAGTAGTAATATCCTTTGGGAAGGGGAAATGGTTGAATGTTGGGGTGATCGTAAAAGAGTTTGGCTGCTGAAGTGTGAGGAGGAGAAAGTTTTGGAAAGGTAAAAGGGAGGATATAATCAATCAAAGTACCACCATCTCCTCGGATACAACCCACAAAAAGGAAAGAGACTCCACACATGAGATCTAAAATTAAACACACCCAGAACTGAACTCTTTCACACTGGAAACAACTATTTATAGGTTCCTACACAAAAGGAGGGCAGAAGAATCAAAGATGTCTGTGGAAACACGCAAAGTCTCCTACACCTTCAAAAGTGTTTGCATGTGAGACCCCCGTGCATGTGATCCTGCCCTCGCGACCCATCTCCCACTGTCGAAACTCCTTCATGATGGTTTGAGAATTTCTACGATTC